ATTTCAGTAAAAATAGCTCTCGACGTATGATGTTACGAAAATGTAAGCTTTTAGTGTGAAGTACAGATGAAAGTACGATGTCTCACAAAAAAGCTACAGAATCGTTAAACCAAACTCCAGGATTTGCGAGACAGTACAGATATTATGGGAGGAATGGTAGTTTTATTGGCTGGTGATTTCCGAAAACCTCTGCTGGTAATCCAGAGAGGTATACCTACAGATGAAATCGAAGCCTGTCTCAAATTATCAAGTTTATGGGCGAAAGTGGAAAAATTCAGTCTTAAAACAAAAATGAGAGTGCATCTTCATAATGATGTAGATTCAGGGAATTAAGCAGAGACACTATTGAAAATTGGCAATGGACGTTAGCCACACAGATGCTGAAGGTCGTATTTTGTTTTGTAATTTGGTAGAAGACGATGTGGAGCCTTTTGCTAAAGTTTACCCACACTTGGAACAAAATTTAAATAACTGATCATGTGCAAAAGTAATTCTAGCGCCGACAAATAAAACCGTAAACAAAATCAACATTGACATTTTGAAAGAGATGCAGGGAGAAATAAAAGAGTATTTGTCAATAGATACAGTCTTGGACACAGAACAAAGCACTTCATATCCTGTTGTGTTTTACATTCATTAGAGCTATCAGGTGTACCCTCACATACACTTCAATTGAAACTAAATGTACCGGCTATGCCTTATGCTTATGTGAAATATAGATGCACTTCGACTGTGTAATGGAACGAGGCTTCGGATCACACAATTAGAGCAGAATATAATCGGTGCCACTATTTTAACAGCTGTAGGAAAAAGGGAAAGGGTTATCATAACCTCGAATCCCAGTAATACCCACTGGGCCTACCATTTCACTGTAAAATACTGCAGTTTCCAATCAAACTTAGTTTTGCTGTTACTATTAACAAAGCTCAAAAGCAAACATTACAGGTGCATTTAAAAAAGTCATGCTTTTTCCATGGTCAACTATTTGTTGCCTGTTCGCGTGTATCCAAAGCCAGGAATGTATATGTATTAGCGCCGAATGGGAACACATATAATCAGAAGCATCATAGAATAATACTCTTATTCGTGTTCTTCTGAAAAAGAATTAATGTTTCTAACGTTTTGTTAATACTTTAAACTTTTTGAAATCTTGGTAATGAAAATTATTTATTTTTGTTTTGAGATATCTTAATAATGCATGTTTTTCAGTTTTTTAAATTAGATTTTATTTTAGAATTTTTTAGTAAACCAAAAAACATCGTAAGATAATATTGCAATGTTTGATATATCCAAATCGTATTTTAAAAATTTTGCTGCATAGCGTCTTAGCGATATCAATATGGATTTTTTTTATCTCAATGAAAAAGGATAGTATTCATTTATTTAACGAAGTGTATATTTTAACTTGAAAAATAAGTAATAGTAAAAAAAATTATCCTCATTATCCTAAAGTTAGCCTGGATTATACAGGCAACAAGAAAAGAATCAAATTATTTTATTTAATTTCAACAGTCTTTGAAACTTATTTAAGGACCATCAACGCGAGCGAAGCCTCTGGTAAAAGCTAGTTCTATAATATATATGCGCTTCTTATGTTATGTTTCTCCGTTGCTATTTTGATAGTATTAAAAAAGATGAGAAAAAATGTCCTTAAAATTATAAAGAAGTTTTAATAATATAAAAATATCTAGAAACATATTAATAGGTATTTCACAGCATTTTAATAAGGAAAATGCAAAAGTTTTTTACAAACTGTTCATAACATTTCTGCAAAATATTTGCCAGTTGTTGTACCTTTAATCATAATATTCAGATGAGGACATTTTTCATTAAAAGAGAACGTGCTAACATAAAATTTTACCCTCTAAGCGGCAAGGCCGTATATATACGGCCCAGAATATTTTTTGTGATATCTGTAAGACCGTATATATACGTGTATATTAAAATATGTCAAAGAACGTGCTAACATAAAATTTTACCCTCTAAGCGGCAAGGCCGTATATATACGGCCCAGAATATTTTTTGTGATATCTGTAAGACCGTATATATACGTGTATATTAAAATATGTCAAAGAAATTAAGGCAATATATCAAAAGAAAACAAATTCAGGTATGAAATACCAGGAGAATTTTTACATTAAAATCAAAAAAATAATTTGCTCTCATAGTAGTTTTGGGAAATTTGTGCTTTCTTAGCGAAATCCTTGGCCGCTCAGTGGGTTTTAAATCAAGGGAAAAGTAGCATTTATTTCTCACAGATGTTTTCAGAAATTTTTTTTTTTTGCTCCTAAGGAAAAAAGACTTGTATGTGTCATCGCACTCAAAATTGATAGCATTATTAAAAATCTACAAAAAACTAAGAATGCATTTTTGCGTGATTTTAAATAATTGACTCAAATCAAAACCAAGCTATTTGGCGAGTTAACAATTTATTCAGCGACATTTTTCTGTCGCTTCACAATTTGTTGATACATTTTGACTTTATTTGTTAACTTAATTTAAGTTAAACAAAATGTTCTATAAAATTTTATTATATTAACCGAAATTTTTATCTCAGCAAGCGATTCATATTCCATGCTTTATACAAAACTATCCAGAATTCTGCAAATCAATAACATTATCTGAATGATAATGTTAACCGCGATCATATGAAGCAGTGTCTACTATAGAGAACACTTCAGATAAATACAGTTATTCAAATGTTTATCATAAGTGCAAATACAGTTACTCATTTGTTCGAAATCTTCAGAAATCTCCGTAGTATCCTGTTAGTAGTCTTTGCATTATTGGAAGTCATTTTGGGGAACTGTTACGCATTTATTGCACTTCTCTTAATAAAGGGCAAAACCGAGAGTATAATTTGGGGAAAATTTACAATTATATAAAAGTAAATTTTCATCCTCGTTTTCTTATGATATTCAATATGATGCTTTTAATTTTCAATTGTAAGTAAAAAAGTCATTTTCCACAAAATAAAAAGCATAGGTAGAAGGAATTTTGCTTATTTATAAGAAGTTTAACACTTACAACTCATTTGACAGAGGAAAAAATTATTTTGAAGCGAGCAAAAATGCTAAACCATTCCAGACTAAGTGCCAATAGATTCTGTTTAATGTTATAAGATATGTTCTCTCTTCATCCAACATGCCTCCATGTTGTAACGGAAGCACAGTCGGCATATATTCGAGAGGTCTAGGTTCGAGTCCCGGCGAAGGCATTGCTTATGCCTCCTACTTCGGAATAACCTAATGATTCTCCAGTGGGCCTGAAATGTGGTGGACAATAATTCGCCACCGTCAGGATTTGGCGATGGCATCCTCTCATTACCAGTCGCCCTTTAAAGGGGAAGTATATTAAACATTTTCTCCCTCCTTACAGCATGCCTTCGTGGCGTAACGGTAGGACACTCATCCAGAATTCGAGAGGTCCAGGTTCAAGTCCCGGGGACGACATTGTTAATGTCTCTTGCTTCGAAATACCCTAATGACTCTCCAAGATATAAAATGAATTTCAGTTTTATTTTACTTGTCCCAATTTCATTTTGATGTTTAAAAAACAGGAAATGACAAATGAGTTATCTACACTGCCTCAGCTATGTGCGCAGCCTGATCCTGAACTTCACCAAAAATCACAAAATATATTTCTAAAGATATTTGGGAGTAATGAAGAAAATTTAATTCTGCCAAAAACTCGGAAATTATGAGTTTGGATATTACAGATTGCAAGAGTCCATCACTTTTTTCACAAGACTGAACATCTTATATTATTTAAGCTTAATTACCCAACTTGTAACGACTTCCTACTCAAATCTTACTAGCAAAAGAAAGATTTAAAGTCCTATGACTGTGGTGTTTTTTCTCCGGTATGCATCCAAACATAAAACAGGTGAAGTATCGGCAGGCTCATCCATTTCATCAAGGCGAATGTCAAAATTTATTTAATTCTTAGTTAAAAAGATAAAGATTACCCAGGTTCTAATAACCTTGAATTATTAAAAACAAATATAATTTTTCCATTAACTTAATTATTTAATATCAGTATAAAAACATGAAATTTTAATAAGTGTTTTTTAAAAATATACGTAAGTATACAAGTAGTAACATATGCTTAAAGAGTTACTTTCGAAAGGTGCATAAGTAAAGTAGTCCGTAGAACATTCTAACTTCTAAAAGAGGTCCCCGCTTGAAAACATTTGAAAAACTCTGCTATAAATGTGTACTGTAGTAGAATATCAAGATATTGCAATTCTCAGTCTAGTTTAACAACTATTTATCAATGTATCACAATCCTTTTAGTCTATTTCTGTATTGCAAATGATTTGCAACTGTTAACAACTTCGCAGTAAGAACCTAAAGCTTTAGTACTTATTATTCTGCTATATTACGTATACTGGTGCAAAGGTAAGAACAAACATGAAACATCCACTGAGCATAAAAGTTCTCGAAAACGGGAAGGTAACATAAAAATGTTTAGGAAGTTCTCAGTTAGGCTTTACAAATTTTTATACGTTATATCCTGCTTTCTTATCTGAGCCATCAGCGCATGTGTCTTAAATCTTCGATAATTGTTTTACGTTCTTAAACGTAAACATAGGATCAAACCAAAAATATCGGTATCTGTTAAAAAAGGTGGGTGATTATTATTGTTAATTAATTGAAACGTATTAAACAAAATTAAATTATTGTTAGTCAAATGTCTGTTAAATAATCAAGTTCTTAACTGTAGTTGCATTTATTTATACGCATATGATCAGAAAAACAAAACAAAAAAATTAAGATGCAGTATTTTTCGTTCAAACCTTAATCGATATTTTTAATATTTGAAACCATATTTTTCATCTAAATAATAAAAATTAAAAACAATAAATCTAAGTAAAAATTAAGCTAAACAATTTTACTTTGTTTAAAGAGCTTCTTTAAAGTGCCTGTATTTATATTATTCGCCAAGAAAACTCAATTTTGATGACGCAAAATTTTTCTTATATCTTACTTTTTTCCCAGCTAAAACTGTCAGTGATACTGAGGCAGTCGGATCGACAACACCGATTGTTCACACTCCGCCAAGTAAGCTCCTTTTTTATCATAGAAATTTCTCGTAAAGGTAGGCTTTGTTTTCTATATGTCTTATATATTTGTATCATTTCAAAGGTTTTTCATGCATGGTGTAACCTAACTTAATCTTGATAATCACAAATGAGCGATATCTGAGTCCTGTATAGGTTTAGAAGACGAATGGTACACACACTATCTGTTCAAAGGAAATAATAATTTAATGTAAAAAATGTTCTGAAGGACTGTCACAGGTGCTAATAATATCATTATTGCAAGAAATGTTTAGAACTTGTAGAAAGAAAACTTTTGCTTAGCTAAAAATTTCTAAATGCAAGATTAGCAGAGGAAAGATGATTGATCAATATCTCATTATGGTTTTTCCGGCAAAACGAAACATTTACAAAGTAAAGCTTCCAAATATGCTCTGATTTTGATAAAAGATTAATTATTATGATTATGATAGAAAGCAGTACAAATATACTTTTTAATTAAAAATTTAAATGCTCTTTGAACTTATATTAAGCACAAACGGGCGTTTTTTCATTCACAGACACGTACACATTTCGAAGCATTTGGGCTAACGCCATATCGGACTAAAAATATTTAAAAACAGCTTATCTCTAGAATTTCCAATGGACAGCCTCGCGCGCTAGAGATAAAAATGTTTTATTCCTTACAGTGTTGCCACTGCTTGCTTTGAAATTGTTGAGTTTTTTAATCAAACGTTCGTTAGAGTTTTGTAACATATGAACTAGACAATAAAGCAAATTCCATATTCCAAATTCGCGCTTCCAGGTGCCCATGTTGAGGTGAAGGACTATGTCATTCAAAATTTGATAACATTAGGCACCGTTGTTTATTCACAGTGCGTGAAACGTACATATATTCATGTTGATTCTTCATTATTTATTTTCTTTAAATGTAATTAATACAGGGCGATAATGTTTGGTGGCAACAATATAAAACGTGATTTGGACATTTAAAGTGATTCGATGCAAAATCCTGTTTCGACACTAATAATCCTTCTGGGCTAACGCCCATTTGGGTTAAAAATAAATATAACATATAAGAATTCCCAAGATTATGCCTTATTCACTGCTAATTTACTACTTGTTTGTAGTTTTACTACTTGCTTGCTAACAGAAGTGATTATATGAATTTCTACTTAGCAAATAATTAACACTGAATAGTTTTTATTTCATTCTATTATTGTATGCATATCTAATGTGTTCATATTCATCTACAGGTAGAACAACAGTTAGCGAATATCTAACGAAATCTACAACTGTCACCCACTTTCATACACCAGAAAGTAAGTTTTAATGTCAAATTCTTGCAATTTGTCTTGAACTTAGTTTTATTGAAAGAATACGTAGTTTTAACTGAATTATGAGGCCTTTAAAAATTTTAAAGCTCTGCTTCTCGGTTTGGAATATGTATCATTTTTAATGACAATTTCTACACTAGGAAGGTGTTAATTATATATAATTGTTAAATTTGAGTATACTATGATTTTTATTTTGCTATCTGTGCTTTTTGGCAGTCTATTTTTTTTTTTTTTTTTTTTTTTCTACATTTGTAACAAAATCAAGTATACAATTTCAAAGTTTTGGGAAACCTATTTAGTTTCGAAACATTTTTATTTTTTTGTACGAAGTACAGGAAGTATTGTAATGACAAAAAATGTCGGTTATCATATCTCAAGGAAAATACCCATTTTGGCAGCTCTCGAATCCATTTGAACGATGTTTTTGCGTGACATCTGTAATTATGGACTTTATCGGTCCATAATCCATATCTGTCCTGTACCTTTTTCCCCAAAATGGATTATAAAATGGATTCAAAATGAATTTAAGCCCACCAGCGGCCGAGCGGTAAAGTCGCTGAACACTGGTAGTTCGGTCCGAGGTTCGAATCCCGCGAACGGGCTGGCTGCATGGGCGTTTTCGTGGTTTTCCCCATGTGTAACGTGTATACGAGCCAGTTTCCCTTAGAAAGTCCTCAACGAAGGCATCCTTCATCTTAGGCAGATAGCCCTCGAGGCTTTGCCATAATCACACACACACACACAAAATGAATTTAAAAGAGATTTTCTTCAGTGACGTCTGCATGTACGTAGATATGTATGTATCTCGCATAACTCAAAAACGATTAGACTCAGAAAGTTGAAATTTTTGTATATGAAACTGCTATAATATGTAGCTGTGCAACTCCCTTTTTGGTCGCAATGTTCCGCAACAAAAGTATATATGTGTAGGTTACAGCCGAAAACATCGCGGACGAAAACGTCGTGGAGTAAACAAGGCAAGGAGAAAACATCGTGGTAGAAAACATCGCGGGAGAAAACATTGCAAAGAGAAAACATCGCAATTCCAAAACATCGTGTTTCAAAATATCGTGGTAAAAAAAAAACGGTTCAAAAGCTTCGCAGTTTAAAAACATCATCGTCAAAAATATCGTGGTAAAAAAATAAAGTACGTACAAATTATCGCATACATGGGTTTTTCAAATCGCATAGTGACATATTATATAACTGAATTTCGTCATAACTAACAAATCGACACCCAAAAAATTGATTGCATGCTATACATGAAAATGTTAACGACACTTTAAGAATAAACGGAAACAAAACAATATGTAATTTTCTTTGAAACAATATCAGATTAACAAATGTGAAAGAAAATAATTTGATCATTAACTAAGCAATTTTTATAGAGGCAACCTGATTCTGTTATTTGTCTTTCTTTTTCTAAGCATTTTTAGACTGTACACTTCATGAAAAATTGTCAGTTAAACGTTATAAAGAAAGCTTACTTTGTTGATGATCTTTGATAATTAACTATATAAATTTAAAATTCTTTTAAGCTTAAGTTGCATTAATTTTCTACTCATTTTAAGTTTTTAAATGCTTAAGTTTCCTTCTTATTTTTTCAGCAAAAATTAAATAGTTCGTTCAAATATATGAAATATAAAAGTAAAAGAATCCCTGTTTACTTCTTGTTATCTTTATACGAACATGCATTTGCGTCTTTGAAAACCTGAAAACGCATATGTGCAATATTATCGTCCTGCGATGATTTGTAGGTACTTTATTTTTTACGACGATGTTTTTAAACTGCGAAGTTTTTGAACCGTTTTATTTTCGACCACGGTGTTTTAGAACTGCGATGTTTTCTCTTTGCAATGTTTTCTCCCACGACATTTTCTCCTTGCGTTGTTTTCTCCGCGACGTTTTCGCCCGCGATGTTTTCGGCGGACACCTATATGTATATATTCACTCTGTTACCCGGCTTGGTGAGCTCAGGTTTTCTATTTTTATATGTTGATCAATTGTGAGTTTTTTGTTTTGAAAGTGATATAGTTATATTGTTGGTACGTTCCAGATACTTTTTTGTCTTTCATTAATCTGCATGCAATCTGCATGTTTGCATTCTTTTCTGCCTTTTTCATTCGTTTCGGGCGAACTCGGAAAAAAACTAGAAATTCTTCCTCTTTTCAACTTTCGAGCTTTCGCTCTCCGGCTGATTTATTTTATTGTTTCTTAACATATCTTCGCTGCACGTTTCTGAGAGGCAACAAATTACTTATTATTGTCACGAAATATTTTTAACGAATTTTACAGACTTCGTGGAGTTTATTGCAAAGCCCATGTAAATAGCCATGGCTGTATTCAGTCCAGTCGCTAAGTGCGACAATTCACGGATTACCAACTATTCACGGATTATTTACGGAGCCCACTATGGGATTAGATGTGGCACTGACCGCATCGGTGCACTTTCAATTAAATTATCTTAAGCTTTTACTGAGGTCTAAGACCGCAACTCTAGGTTTTACTAAGAACTATGTACCCAGCGCTGGAAGATGATGGCCTTCAGCATACATCTGCGTTTTTCTGACAGATTTTATTCTTCCTGTTACCAGAAGCTCGGTAGGTGATTCTTCATGTCAAGGTGGACAAATTCCTTTCTATAGTCTTTCTGCTACCTTCACGACTGACTCCAATAATCACATGCCTAGGAAAAGCACCATGCCAATGTTTCTTGAATACTAATCACAGCTGAGTTGGCTGTTCGGTTAATCTTTGGATTATGGTAACTTGGCGATTTTGGGGGGAAAATTTGGCGACCAACTCTGCTACAGCAACCTGCTAGTTTTTTTTGGACGCCATTTTGTTTTCACGAAGTTAAAGGTATGATTTGTTTTCTTTTTAACTCAACATTTTCTACAACAATCTGCTAGCCGAATTACGCTTATGCTAGAACTTTTATGTAACAAAAGTGCTTAATCATGACGAAGATTAGGTGCGAAATTGGGAGAAAGTGCCAAAGCGCCCACTGCTTGCCGCGTTTTTAAGAATTGCACATACACGGTCATGTACACGTCGACATATTTTCACTTAATAAAACATCCCAGAATTGCACAAAAATGGCATTGCGCACACTCTTGACTGTTTCCATGTACACTGCTAAAGTCTTAGCTAGTAACCTTTATCGCCTTACCAAAATGTCGCCAAACTGCCTGTTACCATATTCCAAAGATTAGCCGGCTGTGCTTTACTCCACAAACCTTCTTCGTAGTCAGCACTGTGATTCCTTGGCTTTCTCACCAAAGTTTCCAGCTGTTTCTTCTGTTTCAAAGCGGACAAGCCCTTTCAGTTTCCAGTACGCCAGATGGACCATAAAGCTAAATTACATTAACTTTCTTTTTTCCTTCTTCTCTTTGAGTCCTTTTCATGTATTCAACTACAGGACAATAAGCATACTGGCAATGCAAAAAGATAAGTTGTAATGTTTTAAACAGCAATAAGCTTCTAGTTAAAATCTTATTTCTGTATGTCTTTAGTTTTGATTTCTTTTCCATACTTCTGTTTTAAGATTCAATATTACTGAAAGAGTAACATAGTAATTGAAGTTTCAGTTATAAGTAACTGCAGTAAGTAATATTCCGCTTAATGCCATATATTTTCTTACTAGCATCAGCAACAATATTTCCTACGGGGGAATGAAACTTTTATACACGAAACAAAGAATCGTATTTAATGTGAATAAAGTAAGAACAATACTGTGACTTTTGACTCAAACAAAGCTCCTATATGAAGCTGTTACATGCGATCTTTCTGTGATAAAAAAGAAGGATTAAGAAACAAAACATGGTTTAAGGGATTGCATCTTACTTTTCTCAATGACGTTCGTTTCATCTATCTGTGGTGTCAAAAATTGACGTCGATTGAAGTTTGCGAGCTTCAACTAGAAATAAGTCATAATACGACTGTAGTTTGGAATACCTACATGAGGGAGGTATGTGCAGATAGTAGTTTGATGTCTCGTAAAAGAATTAAAATCAGGTGGATCCAACAAAATCGTATAAATAGACTAAAAGTCTTTTTACAAGAAGTAAAAACAACGTTAAGTATTCTTCCGGAATAATGGTTATTCGGAGGTTTATGTCAGGAAAGCAAAGAATGTTTTCTGGTCCCCGTTCCTGATTGTTGTGCTACGACATTGATGACTGCCGTTCAAGAAAACATTGCGGATGACAGCATTATATTTTCAGACTGCTGGAAAGGATATAAGCAAGGAAAACTAAGAAATGCTAGGTATGAACATTTCACTGTGAATCACAGCCTATAATTTCGTAGACTCCGAAATTGAATGCCATACCCAAACCGTGGAGCGATTTTTGGGCAGTGCTAAATGGAGGGAAAAAGTCAGCACGGCACTGCTTCCCACCATTTAGATCTTGGATCTTGGATCATATCTTTACTGCTGGCTTTAGCTACTAGGAGCTCTTACCAGTATATTATCATTTTACCATAGGCCATAAAGTTAAAAATTTAAGAGGTGTATTTAAAATACACCGCGCCCGAAGGCGAGATCAATAAATGAGAGAACTCATAAAATAAGTTTTGCTAAGTTGCATATCATGGCATAGCATGGGTGATTATATACGTAAATGGTGGCGAGAAGCGAAATGAAATTCTAAGCTTCTGCGTGAGTCAAGAAGAGCAGGAGCACGTGATCAGCGTCCGGCATTTAGATTGGTCGAGGAGTCAGAGTTCGAAAAATGAAGTTTTTGTAGTTTTGGGCAATAAATAAAGTTCGAACATAGTAAAAGCAACATCTATTTGTGAATTTAAGAGTCTTATGTCTTTTGAAACATTTGAAAATATTCTAAACTTGCGATATAATCATTAAATGAATAGGAAACTGTAAAAGGTGAAAATGAGGTCATGTAGCTCACTAGGGCTAATGAGTGAGAGTAAGCACTTGGTGTTACCACGAACTTTGATTTTAAAACACACGATACGAAATATTAAAAATAAAAAGTAAACATCTTGGTTAAATAAGTAGTAAAACGAAGAATTCATCGATGAAAAATAAAGTCCTAATTTTGCAAAGTTCATCTTTCTTGAATAGTAACTGCAAAGGAATAGTAATTATTATTATTATTATTATTTTTTATACATTATATACACTACCACCACTTAGAATTGTGGTGGATCGTTCGAGGTCTTTTCACTACGTTCTCAATAGTAGGGTCATAGTCTGTAAGCGATTTACCACCATTTAGAATCATATTTAATCGTATTTATATGGCGTCGACTATATTCAAAAACTGAAACTTTGTCTGCAATATTGAATAAAATTCGTAATTTCATGCCACCTGTTTAAATTGTATTTCGTTTTGTTTTGATATATTTATTGATGTGTAGAATATTCTTACAAAATTAAAAAGGTAATATTCGGTTTCGACGGCCGTAAAAAAATTGCAGCGAAAATGTATGCGCGAAAGCGCCAAATCTAGCGAACGCGCCCATTTAACAGCGTGCCAAATCTCGCGTGCGCGCTGATTTCAGATTGCGTATGTTTATATAGTTCTATATTTATTAAGACGCCATTGAAATACCAGTTTAATTTTTAATTCCTTTTTTGATATCCATGGATTTAACAATTTGGGAATTGCCTATGATGAAAAGTCTGCGATAGAATTTGGGTAAAGTGCAGAATCACCCACTGCTTGACGCGTTTTTAAGAATTGCACATACTCGGTATCCATGTACACATCAACTTATTTTCACTTAAAAATAAATCCCAGAGTTGCACAAAAATGGCACTGCGCACACCCTTGACTTTATCTATGTACACATCTACCTATTGCCACTTAAAAAGTAAAAGAAAATTGACAAAATTCCAATTGTTTTTACCCTTGTAAAAAGCGGCAAAGAAATAAGCGGGCGATTCTGCACTTTACCGAAAATGTTTTCAAAGAAAATGCATCATTCATTATAGAAAATTATGTTTGAACAACCAAGGAGATAACATTATGCTTTAGCGCTAACTCGGTAGCGAAATATTATATGAAATTAAACTTTCATCTAAATTAAAAACATAAATATTTAGATAGTTGTTTACTATTATACATCCTTTCTTGCGTTAGAGTTGCCGCAATTACTTTTGGCAGCACTGGCATCAACAATATTTTGGCGATTTTTTACGGCCCTCGAAACCGAATAGTACCATTAACGTAAAAAATTTACTTTAAGAATTAAGAATTTTTTTTTTTTAAATCTACTTTTCACAGAATTATTTTTTTTATTCTTTTAAACTCTGTTTGTATTCTATAATTTAACACTTGGCAAGAATTGGTGCTAAAAAGTGGCGCATTTTTAACTGACGCCTCCCTAACGCAACAGTACCCCTCTTCAGCTAAGCATTATTCATATGCCTAAGTAATCACTGATTGAGTTAATATTTCGACTTTTACTAACTATAAGAGATGAATGATTTGTCGCTTTACATAATTTCTTCTCCTGTTTCAAACAGTAAATTCGGTTCAGAATGATTTGAGTTAAATGTGTTCTTACAGCACCATATAATATTAGTAGAAAACTGGAAAACTTGGAATAGTTTTAAAGGGTTCAGAAATTAATTTATATTTCAGCTTATAGACAAGATAATAGTTTCTGTTAGCATAAAATTTCTCCTTTATATATAAGTAATTTTCTAACTTCTGACGCATGTTATTTAAAATACTTCGCATTTTATTTCATATATTTACATAATTAAATGTTTTGCAAGCAAATTTCTAATTTAATTATTCTTTTCCAGCTGCAACAATCGACACGGAAGAAACAGAAGCCACGACGAGAACAACTGTGTTCACTAAAACAAGTAAGATATTTTTATCTTTCCAAGACACAGGTATTCTTAATAGATAAATCTTCTGAATTTATTTAATGAATAATGTATCTTAAGTACCCAAAATTAAGTATATAAGAATTAAATTAGAATTTTATCAGAACCCACAACGAGAACAACGGATTACTCTATAATAATAAACTATTTTTACAGTTACAAGAAGAAAGAATTCCTTAGTAGATAAATCAGCTACATTTATTTACATTATGACGTATCATAAGTGGTGTCCGCCGATAATATCGCGGCAAAAACATCGCAGACGAAAACGTTGCAGAGAAAACAACGCAAGGCGAAAACGTCGTGGTTCTAAATCATCGTGGTACAAAACATCGTTGTCGAAAATAAAGCGGTTCATAAACTTCGCAGTTTGAAAACATCGTCGTCGAAAATATCGTGGTAAAAAATAAAGTATCTACAAATCATCGCGTGATGATAACATCGCAGACATGCTTTTTTCAGACTTTAATAACTGTAAATAGATATTCCCATAATAATTAGAAATAAGGATAATTTGTTTTTCATATTTTATATTAACTAATAAATTTTTGCTAAGAAAATAAGAAGGAAACTTAAGCATAGATAATTAATGCAACTTATAGCACTTAATAGAATTTTAAACCGACATAGTTAACTAACAAAGACCATTAATAAATCATTTTTTATAAATTTTTTACTGATAATTTTTCATAAAAATTATAATCTATAAGTTGCATTTAATTTTCTAGGCTTAAGTTTCCTTCTTACTTTTTCAGCAAAAATTTATTAGTTAAAAATATGTGAAAGTAAAAATTATCCTTCTTTACATCTTGCGCTCATAAATTATTATGGGAATATCTATTTACAGTTATTAAAGCCTGAAAAAAGCATGTCTGCGATGTTATCGTCATACTTTATTTTTTACCACGATATTTTCGACGACGATGTTTTCAAACTGCGAAGTTTTTGAACCGCTTTATTTTCGACGACGATGTTTTGTACCAGGATGTTTTAGAACTGCGATGTTTTCTCCCACGATGTTTTGTAGCACGACGTTTTCACCTTGCGTTGTTTTCTCTGCAATATTTCCGTCCGCGATGTTTCGGCTGTAACCATCCTAAGTACCCACAATTATGTGTATTAAAAATTGAATTAGAATTTCATCAGAACCCACAACGAGAACAACGGATTGCTCTATAAAAAATAAGCTATTTTTATAGTTACAAGACAAGAAATCTTTAATAGATAAATCTTCTGAATTTATTTACTTTATGACGTAGCTTAAGGACATGTGTGTTAAAAACCGAATTAGAATTTTATATTTTATTTTAAATAGTCTTGATTGAATTTTGAAGTCTCAAATAAAAAACTGCCGAGTACACACAATATGTTACACTCTTTAACTGAGATTTTTTCGCATAACTCTTAAAAACTCTTTTTAGTCTTGAGTCAAGATTACATTAGCCTAAAATTCCGCATCACAAGGTGTCACCAGTCTGACATTTTAAGTTATTTATATTCAACTTAAGTATATAAAAATTATGATATAAAATTATGATATAAAAATTATGATATAAAAATTATGATTCATTATGCAAATATGATTCATTCTTTCTAGATGTAAGTAACTTAATTTTAACTCGCAGTCAGTTGCATCGCAAAGTTAAGAAGACACTGAAGTAGACTATGTTTTCATTCGGGATATTGTTTTATGAGTATGCAGCCGAGCGTTTAAACGTAATGAACTTTAAGCTAGAAGATACTTAACTGAAAAATCTGGTTTGTGAGATTTTAAAAGAATTTGAGGGTAGAGTAGACTTTAAGGTGCCCCTTGTATTATGGCGAAGTTGTTGTTTGATTTATCGCCAAGTTGTTGTTTCATTTATGGTAGCCTGAGTAGTTGAATGTTATGGAAACCCTATTGTGACGTAATCGGGTGCATGATTCTGGGAAATTGTGAATCATGGGATGTTTTGTAAGCGTTTTTGTGGTGTGTGTTGGTTTGATTCTTTAGACGGTAGAATGACCGAATGTAGTAAGATTAATTTGAAGTTTCTGTACAATTTGGAGCGAAAGGGAAAAGAGCTTTGACTGGTGTGTAAATGAAGGTTTACTTAGTAGCTATTATAAGAGTCCTGTATGTGGGAAGGATATGCCTCTAGTCGAACGTAAAAACCGTTTAGATGGATTTGAATGGGTTTGTAGGAAGAAAGGTTCAGATGGTCAGTATGTGAAGAGTTCGATCAGAAAAAAAACCTGATTTGAAAAAAGTCATTTGAATATGATTGATATTTTGATTTTTACGTGGCTCTGGGTGTACGAAGCTAACTCGAAAATCATGGTAAGTGAATATTTGCTTTTGGTAGTGCTTAAATGTATAACATGTTTTTCCTTTTTTATGTTATTTTATTGTTTGGCTTAAAATTTATTTTATTGAGATTATGTATTTTTTGTTTGCCTATATTGTAGACTTTGGTGCTCCTTAGACTTTTTAAGTAAAAATATATCGATGTGTACATAGACAACGTAAAAAGAGTGCGCAATGCAAGTTTGTGCAATTCTGGGATTTTGTTTTAAGTGAAAATAGGTCGACGTGTACATGGATAAAGTTAAAAAAGGTAGCAATGCCAAAAAATCAATCTCTCAGTTATATATTCTGGGATTATAAAGGGAAAGTGGTAAAATTCTAATGTAGTATACAATAAAAAACAGGTACTTACTTAGTATGTCGTCGACCATACAAGTTGGTAACCATCGAAGCCATGAAAGCTGGAGGAGATCTTGTTGAAGATTGCAAACTGTTCTTGCAGAATTCTCAGCCGCACTTCTATCTACGCTTATTAGTCTCTCAGGTCAGTCCATCTTGGTTACGTAATTATTCGACTTGTTTTGTTTTTGTGATAGCAAAATGGCTTTAGTCTGTTTTTGCTATTTTGTTATGTTCTCTGATTTTACCGGAAGCTCTATTTAGAACGCTGTGAGTATAAACTTTCCGCAGATAATTGTTCTAATCTATTACTCTTTTGTCGGCCGTTATCTACTCCATTCAACAGATGTTAATTATCTCCATCGGCTGCAAATACCTGGCTGCAATAACCCATTTGTATATGTAAACATATACAAATGGGTTACAGCTTGTTTTTTATATATAGAAGAAGTAATAGAGGCTACTTAAAAATGATGGGATAGCATATTATTTATATTAATTAGCATTTATTATGAAATGGAAATTCTGCATTAGTAATTTCTAAGAAACAGTATAGCTTTGGGAAGATCTTCTTTCATAAATAACCGTAGATCCGATTTGATAAACTTCAGAGCTGAGGATAGTCTTTTCACACTAACTTCAATGGGAGGGAGAGCTTTTACTGTTAGGGCTACTTCTTTTAACTTATTAGGATATATTTGTATATAAAATCTAAAAGAGGTGTCTTGCAAGAGCAATCATGTTTCTCTATTTCTTCAAGGGCTGTGTAGAAATCTTGTTTGTATTTTGTCAATTTTATATTTAAAGTCTCTTGGTCCTTTATTTTCATTCGCTTTGCCTGAGCGTTTTCAATTTTATTCAAATATCTCTCAAAATCTAATTTATCAATGAAAGAGCATGATAAAGACTCAGCTGCAATGTCTGCAGTCTGTCTTGATTTAAATACTTCAATTGTTCTTAGAATAATTTCATTCTTAGTGAAAGTTCATGGATTCTTTGCCTTTCTAATTTGTTCGTCATCCAATAAAATTCAATATACATATGTTGAATAGATATACATATATTGAACCCAGCAATATCTCATTGTCTTGCAAACTAGTTTCTCTTTTCTTCATCGAGGAAATTGATTCTTTTTGCAATAAGCCGTCTCATTTTGCAAAGAACAAATATCACATCTTTTTCATTCTCGCAGAAACAAACCTCCTGTTAAGGGGACTCATACACCTTAAAACCCATAAGATCTTTGAATGTGTGACTGTTGCAAGAATTGGGATTAATTATTTATTTTAAAAGCAATTACTTCCAACTTTTTACAGCTGACTACATAATATAGCTGCATTCTGAAATAGTGATCAAAAAATTTGTGTTGCCACAAATATTTTTATAATTTAATCCTCTTTGTGACAGAACGTTTTGTCATGTTTCCACCTTGCGCGCACAGTTTAAGACATTCTGTTGTATAATTTAATTCCATATTTAATATATAGCTTTTATAACATTTGGAAACTACTGTGAATCAAAAATTCTGAGAATTTCATTTTAAATTTTTATTTTATTTGGAGTTCAGTGATTTAAATAAAATGTATTTTCATTAAAAAATCTGTAATGTTTTCGTGCACAAAATTTTTTAATACTAAAATGCTCATCAGATTTTTGGTTCAGGTAGAAAATAGTGCCAATATAAAGAACTCCATCAAATTTCAAGTATGTACCATTAGCCATTTTTAAAATATCATGCGCGCAAGGAGAAAACGTGACGAAACATTTTGTCACAAAGCGAATTAAATTACAAAAATATTTCTGGCAACACAAACTTTCTGGTTACTAATTTCCAAAGCAGCTATATTATGTAGTCAGCTGTAAAAAGTTGAAAGTAATTGCTTTTAAATTAAATAAAATATCCCAATTCTTGCAACAGTCACATATTCGAAGATCATGAGGGGTTTAAGGTGTATGAGTCCCCTTAATTCTTCAGACTGTAGCTTTTTTGTGGTGCAGAAAGAATACGGTGCAGAAAGAAGAGTTTCCAATTTTGCAAGATCATTCCACAGTCTTTCTGTTAGTGAAACATTAGAGTTATATACATCTTCCAAAAAATGTTCTTAATTCTAACATTATCTTTATTATCAAATATGTACTTTCTCATCGCGTTGCTTGATCAATAATTGCTTCTTTCCTGATCGCCTCCTAAGAATGGTATCATGTTTTGGATTCCGTGCTTTTATTCCTGCTTGCCTAAATTTAACAATGAGATCTGTAGCATGGGTACCAATGAGATTTGCAGCATTAGACGCATATTTTTCGCAGGTTGTTCGATACAAAACTTTCCTTCTCGCAACATTATTTTAAAATTTAAGAATTTTAACACTTAACGTTATTGAAATATAGGTGTTAAGAGTTTATTTCGCTTCATTATGTCATAAACACTATTCCAAAACTAAAATTCAGCACAAAAAAAATTTTTTTTTTGATGTGTGTGTGCATTTCTAAATTAATCTGGACATTCTGCACTAGGCTCAAAGAAATATAAGCATATACTCTTAAAAATGTGTTCAAAGATTGTGTATTTAAATCGTAACTAGACTTACCTCTCAAAACCGAACAAACATCAAAAGTTTAAAAGAGTTTTCTTTCTCGCAAAAGGAAAATTTTACAGGTTCATGGCTTTAGCTCAGTGCCTGTGACATATCTAAACGCTCTTTATATCGAGCAGGAATTAAATCCTATGAAATGTGGTTGTCAGGTTCTCATGCATGAGAAAAATACTTTTTTTTACCATTTTTAAATTCATCTTTCTCATAAATTTTCTTTTCAGCGGGAACATGTGAAGAGCACGAAACAAAATCAACAACCGACACGGAGACCGTAAAACCAACTTGTAAGTTTTAATATCAAATTTTGTATATTTCAATTAATTTAATTATACAGCTTAAATGTTATCTTCTTGCCTATAAAAATTTAATTTAGATTTTGATGTGAATTTTAGAATTATTAGCATCTGATTTAATGTTTTTTACACTGTGTCATTTTTGAATCGTAAATTAACGTTATGTCTAATTAAAAAAGTGTACCTTTAAATTTGCGAGCCCACCAGCGGCCGAGCGGTAAAGTCGCTGAACACTGGTAGTTCGGTCCGAGGTTCGAATCCCGCGAACGGGCTGGCTGCATGGGCGTTTTTCTGGTTTTCCCCATGTGTAACGTGTATACGAGCCAGTTTTCCTTAGAAAGTCCTCCACGAAGGCATCCCTCCCCTTAGGCAGATAGCCCTCGAGGCTTTACCGTAATCACACACACACACCTTTAAATTTGCTATTACCACGAGCCTTCTTTTACGACTTCTGTTCAACTAGAAAGCCCCAATTCTCTAATGAATCGAAGAATGTTTTAAATTAAATGACCAATCAACGTACACCTTGCTTACAAAAAAAAATGGCGCTGTGTTATACAGAGGTTGGACAAAAATATGGAAACACCTTTAAAAAAACATGTTTCTTTGCTTAATATGGTGTAGGAAACCCGTTGGCATTCAAAACAGCTTGCAGTCTTCTCGGAATGGATAAATACAGTTCCTGTATGTTTGCCAAGGGAATATTATACCATTCTTCCTGCAAAACGGTGGCAAGTTCAGATAACGATGTTGGCGGTGGATAACGAGAACGCACTTTCCGTTCCAATGTAGACCCCAAAGGTTCGATAATATTCAGATCTGGTGACTGTGGTGGCCAGGGGAGATAGGAAAACTCATCCTCGTGCTCAGAAAACCAGTCCTGGACAATGTGAGCTGTGTGAACAGGGGCTTTGTCGTCTTGGAAGTCACCATCACCATCGGGGAACAAAGTTTGTACCATGGGATGAACTTGATCGGCCAAAATGTTCACATAAGTCTTGGCAGTCATGCGCCCTGACACAGTTATCATGGGGCTAGCAGAGAACCACGATATGGCTGCCCAAACCATAACAGAACCCCCGCCATGTTTCACTCTTGGCAACAAGCACTCTGTATTATAGGCTTGAGATGGCGTTCTCCAGACGTAAACTCGGCCAGAAGTGGGAAACAGTGTGAAAGAAGACTCGTCAGACCATATTACTCGCTTCCACTGCTCTATAGTCCAGGCTTTATGACTTAAACACCACCTTTTCCCGTTACGGGCATTAGCATCACTGATGAGTGGCTTCTCAATTGCAGCACGGCCAGCAATTCCCTGTTTATGAAGCTCCCTTCTAATTGTTTTGGTACTCACAGGGTTCGGTAACACAACATTCATTTCAGCAGTAACTTTTGCAGCTGTGGTCTTCTTATTTTTCGTCACAATTGCCCTTAATGATCGTCTGTCACGATCACTCAGGACACACTTTCGTCCGCACTGTGATTTAGCAGATGATGTTTTTCCGCTTTTCAAATATGCGGAATAAATCTTTGATACAGTACCTCTCGAAACACTAAACACCTCGGCTACCTTGCTTACGGTAGCACCTACCATACGTGCTCCAACAATTTGCCCACGTTCCAAGTCTGTTAACTCTGACATAATGCAATGACAACCTCACATAACAGTACTCCGACAACAACTGAACTGTTTTACACATTTACAAAGTTGTATAGGTGGCGTCAGTAGTCAAAAACGCCAGCGCCACCTACATATTTCATTAAAACAATCTTTCTTTTCAAACATGCATTTCACAAGGTGTTTCCATATTTTTGTCCATCCACTGTATCTCCCGTTCTACTGCTATTGTCGAAATTTAAGTCCCGTTTTCCATGTCTGTAAAGTGCGACTTCGGATATGTATTACATTTATATGTAGCACTGTCCTTAACATAATTATTTTGAGATAAAAATCGGACTTTTTCTGAAATAACATACCAACTTTTTTCCATATTTTGATACTACGACTCGAATTATGCCAAAGTGCCAAGTTTTGTGAACATTGCACGAGTAGTTTTTAAAAAATAAGCTCTCTCTCAAAAATGTAGCTCCTCCATGGTATTTGTATTTGGTATATACTTATTAATGTCTCTTTTTTACGAAACGTATTTGATTCTTTCTTTCACATTTCAAAATTCAGGTTCATTCCAAATAAAATTCACTCATTTCTTATGATTTCCTTTTATATTTGTTTATTTAAACAGATTTTATAAATTTTTCGATAAACATTTTGAATTATGACCTATAAAATTTTTACCATTATCTTAAAATAGATGTATTTTTAAGGGTACCTGCAAACAATTAGAGATTTTATTCAAAATTTCCTAAGATCTCGGTGTATTTACATATTAGCGCGTTTTGAAATTTGGCGAGTTTGTTATACGCGATAATAACGCCAAATGTGGTTTAAGTAACTTTGTTTAAATTATTTGAAAGTATGAACAATGACTTTTTTTTTTTTTTTTTTTTTTTTTTTGTGTGTGTGTGTGTGTGCTCGTGAACAATGGGAAAAAGGAAAGGAAAAAGAGGTTGCTATAAATTAGGAAGTTCGCCAAGTGAATTATCCTTGGCGCAAACTAAAAAAAAAAAAAAAAAATACTCCAAGATAAATTGTTTTAAATTTTTCTATGAATTTCTCACTAACAATTACAAAATTTAATATCTAGATATTATTTGAGTAGCAGAAGAGAAATATGAAAACAAATGTGTTTCAGAAAAATTCCGATTTTTTGTCTAAATACATATGTTAGAACAATGTTATGTATAAATCTAATATATATCCTAAGTCGCGCTTTCGAGAAGTCGCGCTTTCGAGACATCGAAAGCGCAAGTTAAATTTCGACAATCGGTCCAATAGAACGGAAGATATAGAACTGTCTCACTTTATTTGTGTGTTCCTGTGTCTTGTACTAGGTTCAGCCCTCTTTTTGAATCTCCAGTGATCTGTCTGGAATAATTATTTTGTTATGTTAATATTAATATTAGCTCTCGTCGAGCGGACGAAGAGAACTATGCTTTTTTGAGTGCTTAGTGTTGATGTTAAACAATGGAACGCACACAGACGTCTAAAATATTTTGACTGCTTTAATGATCTCTTTCAAATTGCTTTTTATTACTCTCGTTTTAGAAACATTACTTATAAACTTAAAAATTTGCTTAGCTAAGTGTGTCTGTAGTGGATTAAAATTCGAAATATAAATTTATTTTCGATTTCTTAGGTACATATGCAAATTTTTAACGTGAAAAGATTTATTTTAGTATTTAATATTTCTTGTAAATTTAACTTCCTTTTGTAACCCTACCTGTAATTGTCGAGGTTACAACCATTTTTAGAACTTAAAAAAAAAAGGAAGAACCAAAGCATTTAAAATAAAATGTATTATTCATGTTTTTATTTTCAAGTTTCTCTTTTTTATTACTAAGTAAGGAATTACGTAATCATTATTACTGGAACAACAAACTGCAGTTACGCATCCTCGCCGCACACATTTTTTCCCTTCATCTTTCTAAATCATCTTAATCAAAATACTAAATTATTTTATTGCGCATTTATTTCGTGAAATTTCACTTATATGTCAATTTAAAGAATTAAAGGGGAAAAATAATCATTTTGCTTACTTTATAATTAACTGAATACTTATTCAGAAATATGCAAGTAACTTCCGAACTTGTAATTTCTAAATTTTCTTGACTGACCTGTTTTTACTTCCTTGTATGAAGTAAAAAAAGTAATGTAATGCGGTGGTGATGTATTTAATACTAGACGAGACACGCTCTAAACATCAAAAAGAGAGTCACGTGTGCCTAACAATTGCTGGCCTATACTGAAAATTAGTACATTGCGTTAATATCCCTACAAAGAGTAATATATAAAACATTTCTTTTACCCACTACTTTGTAGCAGTACTGTTCAATAAATACACTCGTAATTATATCACTTAATTTATTTAGTTATTCATGAATGAATATCAACTTAGACACCGCTCCACTGAAGCGATGCAAGTAACTTCCGAACTTGTAACTTCTGAATTTTCTTGACTGACTTGTTTTTACTTCCTTGTATGAAGTAAAGAAAGCATTGTAATGCGGTGGTGAGGTATTAATACTAGACGAGACACGGTCTAAGCATCAGAAAGGGAGTCACGTGTGCCCAATAATTGCTGCCCTATACTGAAAATTAGTACATTGCGTTAATATATCTACAAAGAGTAATACATAAAACATTTCACTTACCCACTCCTTTGTAGCAAGACTGTTCAATAAATACACTCGTAATTATATCACTTAATTTATTTAGTTATTCATGAATGAATATCAACTTACCTTCAGTGGAGCGGTGTCGTTAGACAGGGGGCATGGGCCGAAGGCCTTACCCCAGATCAAAAATTTGAGCTGTTCTTAATTATGCAGACACAACAATTAAACGAAATCGAGAAAATGTATTAAAAATTAATATCAACTTATTCTCGGTTAAATATGAAATATAAGAACATTATCATCACAAACACAGTCATTGTAGCACGTGAAACCATACTTTCCTTCGGACATAGTCTGTCCACATCGCAGGATATAGTTCTTTTCAAATATTACTGTCTTCTCATTTGCACTGGTGCAATCAAGCTGCTTACGATTTTTTAAGCTTGCTCATTAGGCCTTTTCAGCTACATTCTACGTTTCACAAAAGGCGCTTCATGTGCTTCAGTCGAAACGAGGGAATATACATAATAATTGCAGAAATCCAAAACCACGATGTAACACACCAATGTTGTAGCGGATCATCACTCCAAAATCTTTTTAGAACATGCAGATTTTTTTTTTTCACTTTTTCGTGCTTTTTCCTTTTTAGCCTCAACTGCGTCTTCCTTGCTCACATTCCATTACGGGAAGAGCGAAGGCCGAAACCCTACTCAACCGTTTCACGTCCTCGTCAGAAACAGGAAGAAACACCAGTT